AGTGGTGGGAAATACCTTCCCTTAGATAACACCTGTTAGGGATAGCTGTGTATCTTTAGTCCCCAGAGGTAGTTGGAGTTGGCTCAGTGGAGAAGACCATTGCTGTTCTCTCATTGTTCTTTACAGGGAGTAGAGACAGGCAGAAATGGCTACAATGGTGTAGTGGTACTTGAGACATCTTTTAGCATCAGTCTTTTTGGCAGTAGGTGCAGCTGCCTTTTAGGATTTTTGTTGCTCTCTTACATTATTATTTTTTTTTTTTTAATCGCAGCAGGAAAACATAGTTTTGAAACACATTCATCACAGTGTAAAATAACAGCAAACCCACAATCAAAATGCCAGGCTGGAATTTGACTTGTGGAGTGTTTGACTCCTTGCTCTATTTGTCTGAAGTGACTTGTTCCTCCTGCGTAAAAGACTTAAAATTGTGCTTCTTTTCTCTAACTTTCTCTGCCCAAAGGAGAAGTGTGCCCTATTATTAAATGTGTGTAATGCTTAGTATGTTAGTTCCAACTCCTTAGCCGAGACTTCTACAGGGTTTTTGTAGCACAAATAGTAGGGCCACGGTACTGACCCTATTCATGTGGCACCTACAAATTATGAAGTTTGCAGATGTGGGGCAAAATTTTTTTATTTTTTTTTGCTTGCTTCAGACTTTCCCAATCAGTGGAAGAATTCTTCTGGAGTTAAGTTGTTTCTAACATTTTGCCATCAATGAATAATAAGGTTTTTAGAATGTGACAGGCCCTGTTCTTTAAAATGATGTATAATTGCTAGTACTGAAGTGCAGCCCAGAGTGAGACAACAGCAACTACACCCAGAAGTACCATCTCAGATAAGCAGGTTGTCTTGGAATATACCCAAGCCATTGACATGGTCACTAGGGCTCACTTCAAAGATTACTTTATTTTCTGAGGCAGGGTGGGATTTTTTTGGTGTGCAGCGGGTCATCACAAGTAGGTGATCAGAAAAGACTGAGTTCTTTCACCAGTAGATTACACTGTTCATGGAGTGGGGGCAAGAATGAGAACAACTACCTATGGTAACACAAACATATATATACACATATTTACATATATATATATATATCTGTGCGCACACACACACATATATATATGAAGATATATTTATAAAGACATATATATATATCTTTCTGATGGCAGCCCTCCAGGGAGCTGTAGGCTTCCAGAGATTGCTGTCTTCAGAGCCACTGTGATTATCTAACCACCAGTGCAGAAGGCCATGCTGTGACCTCACTGAATTGCCTTAGATGGGAATGTCAATATACAGAATTAACTACTGACCTCTAGTCCTGAGCTATTTTAGGTAACCAGTTGGGCTATACAGGGTAACTCACTAGGATGTAGCACCAAGGGCTTGTCAACGGAGGTGATATTGCTCCATGAGAAGGGCATGAAAATCCACAGAGATTCAGTAAGTGGTTCTGGGCTTAGATGGGTCGAATTGAGGCTCTTACTGCTTAGGCTGCCTATCATGTAACCAATATGGCAGAAACCTCCTATGATAAGGAGTGCTTTGGAACCTGTTACTCCTGTCTCCATCCTAAGTAGCCAGTTCAACCAAAGGTGCTGCTGTTGAGGTACTAAGGATGCCAGAAGCTACGGACTGGTGAAGGCTTTGATTGCTTGTTTTCCCAGCCTCCTCAGAGCTGAGCCTTGCATGGGAGCAATGCCAGAGCTCCAAGCTAGCTGAATCTGCCTCTCTGCTGCATCAACCCATCATGTTGTCTCTTCTTTGCCCTGTTCTGGTCTAAGGCTGCCAAGTGTTTCTTCTTTTCTGGGGCACCTCTCTGCCTCATGCTGCTGTATCTGAGTCAGTAAACCCCGGTGAGCTATATGGACTGGCCAGCGCCAGCTGCATGCACCTCTGCTTCTAGAACTGGCAGAATTCACTTTTTGAGCTTTTGGCAGCAGGTTGAATTTTACTGTGCTCTTCTCTTGTCAATGAGTTCTGTCTCACCATTAGAGGCTTTAACTCATTGCTGTAACTGACTGATGTTCTTCCAGCAGCTGAAGCTTAGGGAAGTGACTTGCTTCAGTTTGCTATCCTAATCTGATTTGTACTGCTGTTGTGTAAATGGTTTCATGAGCAAAAAGCGTGGGAGCAAAAGAAGATAGACTGAGGGACTAGCAGTATGGCTTTTGGTGGTAGCCACAGCTTACGTTAGCTTAAACCAAGGGTGGAGCATAAATTCCTCCAGTGGTTTGTTGTTCTACTTTGTGGTGCCTTTCCAAATGTGTTGACTTCTGTCCATATTTTGGTTGCATTTGCATTGTGTATGAAGATAGAGCAAAGGACCTTCTGTTTAGAGGCAGGAAGACAGGAGGAAAAGGAAATGTGCCTCAGATGTAAGGCTTTTGCAAGCTGTCCTGAACAGTGCTGGCATCTAGAAATAGAATAGTAAGTTTCAAATGCAAATGAAATTCCGTAATTTCTTGTTTGTCCCAGCCTTTTGATTTCTCAAGTGGCAAGACTTTGACACTGTCTTGGTGCCAGGCAATTGGATCAAGAAATCAGTAATATGATTTTGAAAGGGAAATTTTGGATCATTGAATCTAGACATCTGCTGTTAAACTGTGGCATCATTTATACCGCTATCTTTTTTCTTTTTTTTTTCTTTTTTTTAAAAGCTTCATTGTCAAAGTAGAGGAGCCAGAGAGATTAGATTCATTCTAAGCAGGTTATCTTATGTGATTTGCTCATAACATAAAACCAGAGACAGATTTATTAATTGATTTGTGACTTCTGTTTCAACAATATATGGCTGTGTTTCCATGGCAGAATGCAACGTGCTTTACTGGTTCAATATTTTTTCAACGTGTTTTACTGGTTCAATATTTTGTTTTTAGAAGATTGCTAAATATGTCTTTTTAAATAATTCATTATTTAAGTCTTATTAATTTTTATTTGCATAATTATAGAAGCAGATTATAGTGTGTCAGGTTTTTACTATCTTGCTAGTCTTTAAAAAAAAATACTGCACAAACTCTTCTTAAAAGATAGCATTTGAAGTCAGAGATGTACCTGCTTTTAGGAGAAGTTAAGCATCAATTAGAGAGCAAATTTCCAAGCAATACCTGAATTCACCTCACTGTATGATCACCATCCTATCTCATTAGCATGTGAGAGTGGTGTAAAACATAAAGAACCTTAATTTCCAGGATAAAGCCAATAACTAATCTTTAAGTCTAATTTGTTTTGTCACAATTACAGTTCAGTTTGCTCTCTGGCCCAAGGTTATTCTCTTGGTTTTTATTCTGTACACGTACCTGGCTAGGAAATAAGTTAAAGTGTCTCGCTACGGATCAAGAGGTATGCGTTTGAGTCTCACTCTCGACTCTTGCAGACTCAGCTGTAAAAGAATACCTGTTTTTTTCAGGCTTGGTGCACCTGACACATTGCAATGTGAGGACAGATACATTACTCTCTCTAGTGCTGTTAGCTAGAGAAACACCACCTTAACAGAAGAGTCCTGTAACATGGAAGATGACAGTTGTATCTGTATTTATAGCATAGCACGTGTATCCTAGTATACCCATCTTCTCTCACAAAGAAGAGTATATTGTGTGACGAAGAACAATGCTTTTGCTACGAGAGTGTACAAGCCTGCAGCAGCCTTGTTTAAATATGCCATAGGGGCTTTAAATTAAGTATAGAATTGAAGAGTCCTGAGCCAGATACAGTGCGTGTTGTGCCATGACCAGCATTTATCAAAGCAGTGATGACTTCTCAAGCTCAAGTACAGGGCTGGGCACAGCCTGTTTCTGTGGGAACACACCTTCTGTGACCTGAGGTCTCTCCTGGTCTGGTTTGGTTGCACTTGCCTGGCACAGGTCTGTGCTGGTTTTTGTGAAGTCCAGCATGGTGTTGACATTTCTGTTGTTGTGCTGATTGTATCATTCCTTCCTGGGTTTCAGGCTTTGCTTTGTAGATCAAAAATGCTGTAAACCTTTTGTTTGAATTTTGAAATGCAAGCAGCATTTTGCAACAGTGGGTGAGTGGCACAGGCTATCCAGCAGCTGTGGAACGTGGGAGAACCAGGTTTAAAGTTTCTTTACTACAGGGTTGTCAACACAGGTGTCCTCCTCACCACAACCACTAGGTAGACTTGAGAAGTTTCTGTTAGTGACCTGCAGAATATAGCTACATAAAAGGTTTATAATAATGATCCATCGAGTCCCAACTCTGAGACAGTGATCGTTCTTACCATATTGTTTTTAGAGGCTTGTCTATTAAGTGTTAAATATGCTAAGAGCTTAGCTTTATTTTTCTGAGTTAGTTCAGCTGAATTCTTAATTTTTCAGTTATTCTGTTTCTCACTGTGCTCTCCTTGGGTCTTAGGAACATGACTGCTGCCACACCTTTTCTCCAAGTAGGTGGAAGACCCTGTCAGGGTAAGAGTAGGATGAAGGGCCTAGCAAAGTACAAAAAGTACTTCAGGTAATGGTCTGTTTTGGCAGATGGTGCTCCTGTGCATATGCTAGTACAGAAAATAAGTCCCCAATTCAGACTTACTGAATTAGTGACAGTTCTGTATAGTGTGGAAAAAACCCCCAAGCCTCTAATCTCTTGTCATCATTATAAGTGGAAGGATTAGCTATTATGTGGTAGCTAAATTCTGACTAGTCTATACACACTGCTCCTTCTAATTATTCTAATTACCATAGCATTGCTCATTTCCTGAGCTATTGTTCTGTGCAGTGTTTGACAGCTGGCAGGTTCTGCTCCAGGGATGTCTGCATTTGACCTTGGGGGAAATCCTTGCTGTTCTGATGACTACTTTTTCCAAGGATAAGGCTGTGTGCTCTCTCTTTCTAGCATTTGACGGTAAAGTCACTTTCTTACAACTAGGGCTTGAAGATCTGATGTAGACTGATTATCTGACTCCATATGCTGTGTTTAAACCTGAAGAGGATGACTATGCATACCAAGCTCTTCGGAGTTGTGACTTGCTGTTGTTTGTTTTAATTTCACTACAGGCTGGAAGTCCAACCTCTATCTCTGCCCCACATAGCTTCTCTCGGACTTCTGTTACACCATCCAACCAGGACATCTGCAGGTAAAGTGTGGTGTTTGCATGGCTACAGTGAGGCTTGTGCGAGGTTCAAATTAAGAGAAAACAAAACTGAAAAAGCACGTGTATGGGGAAGTAAGCGATGTGGGGTTGCTGTATGAAGCATCCCATTTGTTTGATTCGACTGCTGTCTAACACTGCTTCGTTGAATCCCACTGACTGGCCCTGCTATGTTTGCCATTCCCACACTAGCTGTAATTCTCATTTCTTCACCTTTAATTATACGTGTTCTCTTTTGTAATCGTTTTTTACTTTCTGTGCTTTTATTCCACTGTTCTGCATGCAGTTCCAGTGCAGTGTTTTCTGAGTGTTGTCATCACAGTCCAGTGCAGTCTGCTGTTGTCTTGAAAAATCCTCACTGCCAGCGCCCTCTGACACAAGGGGTCACTGTGACAGTAATCTGTCAGGATACATTACATGCACCAAAAAGAAACTCCCGTGGGCAGGATCGGGGCCAGGCACTCAGATCTGCTAAGAACGTAAAGCCCACCCGCACGCTGAAATTCTCCAAGTCGCTCAATGACGTGGACCAGAAGGCGCAGAGCACCAGTGTGTGCTTTGACTATGTGGAGCGAACTCGCTCGGAAGGCAAATTGAGCCCGACTCAAGATCAGTGTTTAAGGATTAACAAATTTCATCTTAAAGAGAGGAAACCACTGAATCTCAGGCCTCTTTCTTTTAGCAATTCTAAGCACTCCTATATCCCTTCCCTTTCGAACTACTCGAGTGCATCGGGAGGAGCAGAGAACCCCAGCGCTGTACATATCCCCCTGCTGGAGGACAAAGTGGACCATGACACCTCAAGGAGCAAAAAGCTGTTGCGTTACCTTTTTTCGTTCTCCCACACCTCCAGCACCAGCAGCCTGCATAAGTTCCATGAACTGGAGAGCTATTCCAGTCACTTCCAAGCTGAGAAATCCTCCAGCATGCTGGTGGAAAGCACGGACTTCTGCTCTGACGATATGGGAGATGATGACGTCTTTGAAGACAGCACCTCAGTAAAACTGAAAACAAAAGAGCAGCGGGCACCGCTCTGTTCAGTTGAGAAGGACAGTGACCTTGACTGCCCTTCCCCCCTCTCAGAAAAATTCCCCCCTCTCTCCCCTGTGTCTACATCGGGGGATACCTGCAGGTTGGTTTACCAGCGAACCGCCTACCTTTGAGCCCTCCCATGTGTGGTGGTGACTGTTCTGCTTTCCCTGCCTTTGTGCTGTTTCTGTCCTTTCACCCTGTCACCTTGCTTTAGCATGTGCGATTTGAAGCATGCAGCCTTCCCTCTGCTGTCCTGCAACCCTCTGATGCACTTAACAAGGCTACTAAGCAAAAGAATTTCCTTTGGAGTCAAATAAATTCTCTTGCAGTTTGGTTCACGTTTGGGATTCTGAGGTGGTATTTTTCTCCTATCAGTGCCTAAACTGGGAACATCATGAGAGAATCAGCTACCATATTAAAGGCCAAGCTGAGCATGTCTTGGCATTTAACGAGCCATGTGTTGTCCTGACAGTCACTGCTGGTTTAATCAGAGGGTGGGGACTCAGGAGGAAAACAGACTGTTTGAAAATTTCTACTGAGGTCAGGTCAATATAGCTTAAGTTTCTACAGTTTGGGGTTTTTTGTCTTTTCTTCATAGTTTGTATCCCACTACACTCTTTTATTTGTAAAGGGCTTTCTGGTTGCCTTAGTCAAAAGTGGGATCTGAGCACTGGGTAGTAGTGGTGGGCCTGTGTGATCTCCATAGCGTGAGGTCTAAAAAGGATTGGTGTCCTTGTTCCAACCACAGAGGATTAATCAGGCACAAGTGGTGGGAGCAACCAGCTCTGAACTGGCTTCATGGTGACTTGCCTGCACATCTGCCCTGTCCCAGGTGCAAAATGTGGCTGAGGAGTAGGAGTCACCAAGTACAGGAGCAAATGTCCCATCCCTTTACTATCCTAATCTTTCTCTTCCCTGACAGTACTTTCTGAAGCTGGCTCTGTTAGTACTTGCTAATATTATTTGATTTCCCCCCTCATTACCAGCAAAATCTAGTTCCGAACTGACTTGTCATCAACAAGACGCTGTTGTAATCCACCCACTCCTTCATTTCCACTTGCCAGCTATCAGCAAGGTCGCAAGAGGCAAGATGCTACACATCAGTAAGAGATTTCACTAATAGACAGGGATGGCAGCATGCCAGGACATACTTCACATATGCTTAGTGACTTATATTCATTCCCTGAGCTCCTTACCATCCCCCTTTCAATTCATGACCTCTTCCGCATGGTTAGAAGGACTTAATGATGTTAGATGCAACCCAAGGGTTGTGTGTAAATTGAAGCCGGAAATCAAATGCCAGCACTTGATAGTAAAACTGCATCGGATGTTCTTGCTGTCTGCACAGTTAGTCTGTGAGGGAAATGGGGAGTTTTGCAGAGCTGATGCTTCCTTAGCAGCTCTTGCAAATAAGAATTGGAGAGCAAAAGCATTAGTCCCTTTTAGAGTAGGTGTATTTTGGGGAGATTCAGTGATGTAGCTTTGCAGTCTGGATCTGTCGCTCAGCAATTGGCACTAGAAATAATCACTTCTTTTGTGCAAAATCCAGGCTGTCTAAATTAACTCTTCATGATGCTGAGATGGGCTATTTCATCATTGGTTTGGGAATCTTATTTTCTGTTTCAGATCGTAATCCACGAGTAGTTGTACCTCTTTGTGCGTATTTTGTCTTGAGAAGTGCTGTCTGATCTGTTTAAATGCTATTTTCAGTTACGTGCTATTGTTCTAGATGAAGTGTTGTCATTTCTTACCCTGTTTTTGGGTTGTTTTTTTTTCCTTTTGAGTACTGTATTTCTGTCAGGCTCAGTGTAACCCCCTCATCTGTTAGAAAGCAGCTGTCTAGTTAGCGGTATCTGTGCTCGGTTATTTTGTGCCTGTGTATGTGCTTGTGCAGCAATGGAGTTCTTTAGTTTTTAGCTCCTTTGATGTGACGTTCCTTTGATATGTATGTCTCAGGATCCTCAATGGACAACCGTGTGTGATCGCAGATATTACATACCTCTTCCACATCCTTTCTGCTTCCTCTTCTCCTAATGAGCAGCTTTGCTTCTGATTCAGGATATGTCATTGTGAAGGAGATGATGAGAGCCCTTTGATTACCCCCTGTCACTGCACGGGAAGTCTTCATTTTGTGCACCAAGCGTGCCTGCAGCAGTGGATCAAGAGCTCAGATACACGATGCTGCGAACTCTGCAAGTATGAGTTCATCATGGAGACAAAACTGAAGCCTTTGCGAAAGGTAGGCGCAAGACCTGCTTCCCCAAGGAAGTGCTTTGTTAAACACAGATCCGCTCTGAAAAGAGGCCGTCCTTGCCCATGAGCCCACAGCACCCAGCACGTATTAATCCTAGCTCCTTAGTATGGTCACTTTTGTATAGGTGCAAAAGCATTTAAATTAACACTCAGTCTGGCAAACTCAACATTTGACAGCTGTTGTAGCCCAGCAGCTCTCTGTGTGTAAATGTACATGCACATATGTGCATGCAGCAACTGATATTTTTCTTTACAGTTGCATTTTAGAGCTGATGAATAAGGTATTAGCTGTGTAATTGTTCACCTTTTTTTTTTAATATAGGGGTTTGTATTACTGTTACCTGCTTTAGTTTGCTGCTCCAAGATCCACATAGATTTTAAGTTATCTTGAAAATGTGAGGATTTCAGGTTAAACTTACTTTAAAACACACCTTCTGAGTGTAATTCAGTTAAAATTTGTAGCTTTTTTTTTTCTTTTTAAGGGAGCAAACCTATTTTAGTGAAAATATTGCCGTGTAAGTAGAAGTTCACCAATAAACGTGTTTTCATTTTTACTTTTTCTTAGACTGTGAATGACTAAGTTTTAGTACTTCAGGTTGCCGTAACCTGTTTTTTTGTTTTATAGAGAAGGACTTTTCAAAAATCTGACCAGTTTTGTGCTTGTATCCTTTTTGTTCTCCCACATCCTCTGGGCTTTCAATTTCAATTGGTCCTTACCATCAGGATTTTGAGATGAAAGTCGCTGGTGCGGACAAATCTTGCCATGTCTACCAAAGTGGAAGAGGTTAATAACAATAACCTCAGTCTGGAACTAGAATAAATGAGAAACATTCTATTCAATTATAATAAGCCTAAATCATGTAGAGTAGGGAGCCTGGACTGCAGCCATCCAAAAGCTGTTATGGGAACTCATCCAGTTCCTGTAAGTGATTCCTAGCAGAAAATACAGCAGATTTCCAACACCTCCCTCTTTTTTTGTTGTTTTGTTTGTTTGTTTGTTTTATGAAGATGTATAGTCTGCAAAATATATAGCTTAGCATGTCCAGTCGATGGGACGACCTCTCCTTATGACTGTGGTGAATTGTTGCCTTCCGAGAACTGCAGATTATTCCTTGGTAGCCCCTTGACAGACAACACTTTGCACAGCCCAGACGTAGGACATTAAAGAAACTACTACAGAGAATCCCAAATAAAAAGGGTTGATACACTTGTCAATCATCAGCTGCTGTTTTTTCTGTGCTTTCTCTGTCTGGAATGGGTGGAAAACATTTTCTGTATATTTGTGCCCTATGAGAATAAGCTATTGGGCACCTTGAGAAATTAGTCAGTCGTCATCATTAGTTATATCTGAGCACGTCATCTGTAGGAAAGAGACCAGATGCCTGAAGGTAGGGACAGAGCCATAAATAAAAGGAGAAGAAGTGATTTACCTCTGAAATATATCTAAAAAGTCTTTTTTGCAGGCAGAAGATAAGCTGCCTCTGTATCTTCAACTCTGCCTTTATAGTACCCTGTCAGTCAGGAGAAAACGATCTGAAACTAGTGATTATGAACAGGATGGGACAAATAATAGGGCTTGTGCTTGTCCCTAGGGTAGAAATGGAATTAAACTTTCTCAGCATCTTAATCTTGTATTGCAGCTGAGGGAAGAGGATGAGAAACAAAACATTTCACAATTCAAGTGAAGGTGGAAGGATTCAAGAGAGGGATGCTTCATTTTAAAATTTCAGTGGAAAAAAAAGAATACATTAAATTTTAAATTTTCTGCTGTATTTTTTGTTTCGATAACACTTCCAAAGCCCAGATCTGATGATGATTTTCATTGGAATAGTGCAGCAGGGACCTACAGATTCTAGTTGCCTCTCTGAGCTAGCACATAGTTTGCAGAGTATCTTCCCTTTTGCTGTGCAGTCATATCTCTTGAAGAGATGAGGTGGTGTGGATTGATTTGGTTACTGTGGAGCCCAGTAGTTCACAGGATGTATTGTCCAGTAGAGAAGTTCAAGCTGTGGAAGAGAAAAAAGAAATATAAATTAGTCAAAACACAAGTCATTGTGGCTCTGTAAAAGCATTTACAAATAGATTTCACATGCTTACTTCTTGACTTTTATTAATTTATACTATCAAAAGTAAACAGCTTTGTTTAGATGCAAAAAAACAATTATCTGTTTAAAATACAACATCCAAAAGGAATGTTTTATCCAGTCTAAGAAGACTGAAAGAACACAGCTTTCTAGCATGTTACAAATCTAGCATGTCATTGATCGCAGTCTTCAATTCATGTGCCATGATGAAATTTGGATGGCCACAGAACTGGAGATGACTTGGACTGGCCAAAGAGGTGGTTGGCAATGCAGAGAGAATCACAAAATCTCTGTTTGGTGTTTCAGCCATTCTATTTGTAGCAGTGGCAACAATAATTCAACACAGTGGGTAATCTTGTGGGTAATCTCAAACATACCAGTCAGGCACTTGCTCTATTCCACATTTTTCCTCCTTCTCACAGTCCTCCTTTTCTACAAATTATTCTGCGAGACATCAAATGCACCTTTCTAGAAACACATAGGTATGTATGAGAAGCTTATGTGCCCCAGCATATATTTTGTGAAGGTGTGAGAAAAGCTGATCTTATGCTGAGGGATGTGTATCCCACATGCAAAAAGTTGCATCCTATACGTAGGGGAAATTGCCAGAAGATAATTTATGAAAACGCTTCTGGGTGTCTCAGGTAAAAAAATAAAAACTAGTTTTGAACAATTCCTTGCATATTAGAAGCATCTATAATAATAGTCTAGTTTCTTTGTATCTTTGACTTTGTGGTTTCTGTTTGGGCTGTACAAACATTATTGGTAGATGCAGGTCTGGGGATTTAGTCTCTTGTGTCCTCTCACTTACAAAAGCTGTCATCTCAGTTCTGCTGTATATTGTTAGGGAACACGTATTTAAGTGCACTTGAAACACTGAAAATAAGAGTATTGCTGCTGTAAGTAGTGTTAAATATACGTGAAGATTGAATGAAACCCCCAGAGAAAGGAGGTGAGAGCTAAACAGCCTTGACTGTGCACCGATGGACTTGATAACAGAGCTCAGCATGAGATGTCTTACACGGCTCAGTTGGATTATGTCCCACTTTTACCGAACGCCTGCCCGAGCAAGGGTCCCCTTTGCCACTCAGGGTGCTCTGCTGTGGGTACCCGCCATTGGGTGGGGAACACACCGAGGAGCAGCCTCACTGGTGCTGCAGAAGGCCTCACGTGAGGGTCCCTCTGTGATGGAGCTGCCCCAGCCTGGGTCAGCAGGTTACGATGAGATTGTGCTGAGGCTCCGGGTGGGAGCTGAGCCCTGGAGGTCCCATCCAGTGCCAGGACGGCTCCCGTCACAGCAGGGCGAGCTGCCAGCCGTCACCCACATGCTGTGGTCAGAGCAGCAAAGCCATCTGACTTGTTAAATCAGTGTTAGGAGGCAGCTGGTCTCCAGCTTGGTTTTTGTTCTTATCAGTGTTCTCTTTTTATACTCTCCAGTAGCTACAGCAAACCCCTAACCTCTTGCTCTGCTTCCGGGTTTCTTGCCAGTGGGAGAAGCTGCAGATGACGGCCAGCGAGAGGAGGAAGATCATGTGCTCTGTAACATTCCATATCATTGCCATCACCTGCGTTGTGTGGTCTCTCTACGTCCTGATAGACAGGACAGCTGAAGAGATTAAACAGGGACAGACTACTGGTATGTCACTTGCTTATCTTCCTGCTTATTCTCTTGGAATAATCATTCATCCTGAATGCAGAGAGGATGCAGAGCATGAGTTTGCAGGTAATGCTTATACTTAGACTAGTCAGCTTTAGACTGAGGTTGGGTTGGTTTAAAAGCACAGTTTTAAAATTATTTGGTTAAATCGGTGTAAATTCATCTGTGGGTGCTTTTTAAGTTTCTTTTAAGTCTATTTCAAGTCAATTTAGTTTGCAGTTGTGAAATGCACAGATACCAGAGCTAATCCACTGTAGCCAGACAAAAAATTGCACTGTCTTAGCTAATTTAGTTTTGAATTGGAACACGTACTTAGCAGATAAGGGCATTAGCATTTCTTTGCTGCTATAGCTACTTTTAACTGGGCAAAAGCAGAACAGTTTTTAAAAGGAGAAGAAGTAAGAGGAACCTAAATCTAAACTGCACTGCAATTCATGTAGTGGCTGCCACCCCATGGCAGGGATGTCTTAACTTCTTGAATATCGGGCTTTCTTTAGTATGCCAGCTGTAAATTTACCAAACTGAAATCTGTTTACCTGGCTGTGCTGGGCTGTACATTTGCAGCTGTTACAGAGCTATTTCTCAGGCAGCTGAGCTGTCCCTAAAGGTGGGAATAGGAGGGAAGGGGCATCTGCCAAGGTTAGGAGCCATCAGAAGGGAAGCTGTCCAAGCTCACAGAGCACTGCATGCCAACTAGGTGTGCAGGCAGGAAATATTTTGGTGGCGAGTGAAGAATGTCATCTGAGGAGGCAGCTGAGCATCAGTAAACCTGCAAACCCACAGAGCTGTTACAGTCTCTTCAGAGCAGAATCACACTTCAAACTGAACAGGTTTGCCGTCATTTCTTGTTTGGGCTGTAGTTTGATTGTTCATGACTTCAGTCAGGAAGCTACTTTGAATGAAATATTTTAGTTTCTGTTCCATCCAACCCTATCTCTTCCATGTATGGTGAACATTGTTGCCTTTCAGTGTAAGTTTTCCATTTGATAATGAAAAGTATATGCTTTCAAAGATTTATCATCTCCAGATTATTTTAGTCAATAAATACATTAGATGACGATGAATAGGAGAAATACTGTGAGTATTTAGTACATGTTATAGTGCTGCCTTGGTCCATTTGCATTCTAAGTCTGGGGAGTGCCGTAATGAGCTTGCAGGTTTTGGAGAGTGTGTGTGTGTGTATATACTCATGTCTGCACAGGGCAATCTTGTACCATCACTGCCTATAGATGGCATCAGATAGCTCACCTGTGAATCAGAGGCTCAGATATTAATCACGGAGTGGGATTTCATCACTAGTCAGTGTGGTTTCATATCCATCTTGTGATGCTGCTTACCTTTAAAGAGGAGAGAGGCCTGGTGGATACAGGACCTGTGTAAGCAGAAGATACATAAAATACTCTCATTTGAAAGTAATCAATAAGAGATTAACAATATCCAGTGTCTAAACATTCAAGCTAGACAAATTCAGGAAAAGTAATGGTGGTCAGCTTGCCCAGAATGTACTGTGTGGTCATAAAGTGGAGCAGACTTCTTAGGTCACTGAGCTGAGTCTCCTGCTGGGAAGAGGAAACCATGCCATAGAATCCCTTTAAGAATCTAATTCAACTTTTGTTTAAAAACAGGTGTAAACATATTGCTGGTTGTTGCCTTGACTCTGTGATTGTGCTGCACAAGGGCTCAGATATAGAGAATCAATTGTTTTGTTTTTCCCCTAGTGGGTGAGAATAAATGTGATCTGTGAGGTAGAAGTCTACATGTGTCCCTGCCCATGACTGGGAGGTTGGATTAAATGATCTCTAAGGTCCCTTCCAGCCTAGGCCAGTCTATGGTTCTATGATTCTATGTGTTTGACTTGAAGAGGGTGGAGGGAAAGGCCAAACAAGAAAAATGGCAAAATGAGAACAGTTTACGTGACCCAAACTCTGTAACGGTTTCCTTGCAGGTTGTTTCTGAGAGATCCAATGTAGTCCAGCCATTACTTCTTTTTTTCTTTATTTTCTTTCTTCCAGGGATTCTAGAGTGGCCATTTTGGACTAAGCTGGTGGTTGTGGCCATTGGTTTCACTGGAGGACTTCTGTTCATGTATGTACAATGCAAAGTGTACGTACAGCTATGGAAGAGACTTAAAGCTTATAACCGAGTAATATATGTACAAAACTGTCCAGAAACTAGCAAAAAGAATATTTTTGAAAAACCTGCACTAATGGAGCCAAACTTCGAAAGTAAAGAAATGTTTGGGGTTCACCATTCAGACACAAACTCTTCACATTACACAGAGCCAGAAGACTGTGCTGCAGAAATCCTTCATGTCTGATTGCTGAGTGGGAGGGGTGTTTCTGTACGTCCTTGAAGATCTAAAATATCATTGTTTACTGCAAACTGCTCTACCTTTTTAAAATCGGCTAACAGCTGAGGGCTGGCAGATCAATTTTTTTACATTTGTTTTTTGTTGGAATTTTTTTAAATCTCTTTGGCATATCTGTCAGTGTCATCGTGGTTGCATACCTCTCAATGTTTTGTCTCTTGTACCAGTTGATCAAAGAGCCACAGGATACCAGGTAGAATGAACCTTCAGTTTGGTATCAAGCAAGCCTCTGGTGACCTGTCATCAGCTTCATGGAGTCTGTTACTTTAGAAGATGACTCTAAATGATTCTGGAATATGTGTAGAGTGAGGTTTGTTTGTTTGTTCTTTAAGCATGATAAAGGAGGTTGTCCCAAACGTTGAGGGAAATGAGAGAGCTAGAGTCTAATTTACCACTAACACTGCCACTAACGTTTTGTCATAGGCAGCAGGTGTAAAATTTTGCTTTACATATTGTGATGAGACTTACAAAGCATATAGCACTTTTAAAAATCTTTATTTTGTAATATGTATGTCAAATGAGAATGAAACTTGAAAGAATGTGTCATTTTCAATACATCTCTTCATTCTTTACCCCACCTATTCTTCTGGAACATAAACCTCTTGCCTTATAAAAAAAAAAATTGAAAAATATTTCCAACCTCTGATTTCCAGCACATGCCCACATTATCTTACCAAACATAACACTAAAAAACTCCACCTCTTTGGGTTTCCTTTGAGGAGCAATTGTTTTCAAAGGATGTTGCACTTGTGACTTGTGTATGGGAAGTCGTGGATGTGTACAGTATTCGTTTTCAATGTGTAATGATTTCAGTGCTCTGTTCTGGGGATTGGTTTGCTTTTTATTCAACAAATTAGACCATCAACACACTTGCACATATATACCTGATGTAACTTTCATTCCAAAGCATTGGCAAAGGGTGTGTTGCTGTATTGGTAAAGATATGAGCTGTTATGGAAAAAAAAAGATACTTAGTCAATACAGCTGAAATTGGTTTTCCTTCTTCAGTGTGTCATGTGTGAATTAACCAAGAATTTGATGTCGTCAGAGGAGATGCTGAGATCAAATTCGAGGAAGTAAATATTGCATCAGGTGGATGAGTTTAAAAATACCTGCCTGGTTTTCATCCTGATGCGATGCGTTACATGGTCAGAGAATAATTTGTCTGTGCTTTTGAATTCAAGACTTGCTTTTTAATCAGTCAGCCTTAATGAGAAGAGAGGGACAGCTTTAAAATCTGTTTGCAGGCCTTTAGACAAAGTCACCTGAAGCCTGAGTGTCTGCTGTTAATTCACTTGACCGATCTGCTCTACTGAACCACTGTCCAGCTTCGGGCCCTCATTTAACCAAAGTCTCATTATGACTGGTGCAGAAATGAAGCCCCACGAAAAGTTAGTGCATGAGGCCTCTGCATTTAAAAGCTAACTTTCCCTTCCTGAGCCCTATCTAAATCTCAGTAAAGTCAATGACCATGTTCTCGTTGGTAGTAGGAGTTGCCTGGGCTTCACAGTTGGGTAAAAGCTTCTATTTACTTTTTGAGATACTGAGCTAAATCCCCAGGTTTTACTTAGTCTTTTTCAAGTGCAGCTTCCATCAGGCAAGTTCTTTTCATAATAAAAGTAGTTGCTTTAAGGCTTTCCAAATAATAACAGCAAGAGATCAGTGTGGGTTTTTTCCTTAAAATTTAATATTAATATATTTCTAAATTAGTATTTTAAAAGAAGGTAGAGAAGGAACAACAGTAAGAGAAAACACACCAGTGGTTTCTAAGAGCTGTAAGAGAAGAGATCTTCGTGAACTACACAGTACCTTGCTCTTGAGGTGTTTTAAAATACCCAGACTCGAGAGTACTAGCAAAGGTGCACTGGCGTGGCTTTGTGTGCTATGCTAGGTGTCAGAATGTCCCATGCTTATGTGATACAGGGAGGCAAACCCTGCATGCCCTGCTAGTACTGGGGCAGCAGTCTTCATGACCATGTGCATGTAGAGTTTGTTGCCTATGCCTGCCATAATTTAAAGTGCAATTACTCAGGCCCTTTGCTGAACTCTGCTGTGGGTGATCCTCTTCTATTACGAGAACCCAGATAATATGCTGTCTTGTTTTGTTTTCTGGTTTGGTCTGTGGAAAGATTTACTTTGGGTTAAATATCAGGACCTTTATCACATTCTTCTGACATGCCCAAGTGCATGAGGCTCACATTACAGCTGCAAATGCACAGACTTGGCTACCAAATGATGCTGTACTGCTTCTCATTCAACCTCTGGTCAGTAGGTGCAATGAACATGAACCTGCTTGTTCTCCAGCTCACATGCACTGGTGTCTGACTGATGTTTTGACAAGTGCCAATAAGGCATACTGTACTGTGCTGATCCTGTTTCAGGCACTTCCGTACATGATTCTTGGTGAAATGTTGTGAAATCTCATTTAGCTTTGGGAAGCTCCATGCGGCACATGCCAGGTAGTATTCAGTGTATTCAGGATACCGAAGGTTTTTGCTGTGTCCCTTGTGTACCTTAACTTGGGAAGAAAAGTCATCTCCAGCAAAATCATCAGGGAAAAATATTTGTGGATGAAACAGTTTTAGCCAGTGTGGCTACTAACCATTCCTTCTCCCAGCAGATCTTTTCTGAATGAAGATCAAGGCCTAATATTTAAACTTTTTATACTGCTTAGGAATGTTCGTACCAGGAAGGGCTGCAGAAGAGATCCATCTATTAGGGGTTTTCATTTATGCTGGTCCCACTTCTCATGCTGATTCTTGCTTGGTGTTAACAGTGTGTAACAGTGCCTCTGGAGCTGCAGTTCTGTGCTTCTGCATGGTGCAATCATGTAGTGTGAAAAGGCTGAATGGTGCTTTTTCCTTCTTGTTCCTCAAGGAGGTACTGTAGACTTGTTTTCAGCTCCCAGCTGTGAGGCACTGATACTGGTTCAGGTGAACTCTGGCCTGCCCAGATGTCAGTGGGAAGAATGACCACTCCCAGTCAGACCGAGCTTTCCAACGCTTCCTTCCGGCAACTTCTGAACTGACTGAAATAGAAGTCTGACTTTTTTTGGTCCTTGTTCCGTGGCCAAGATTATTTCAGATTACCTGACAATTTTCTGGGACTAGAATTTAAGTAGGAGGGAATATAAGCTTAATACCATCTACCATGATCCCTTCCCTAGGTTGCCAGAGCCTTTGCCGATATGTCCCATGCACTAGACATCTGATCAGGCTCCCATTCTATGGACTTTAATCCTGTTCAGAAAAGCACCGGCTGTGCCAAGGAAATTTCCCCAACGCATCGTCTTTGGTATATCTGCCAGGTCATGAACATGCATTACATTAGAAAAACAGGTGTGTGCCGGAGAAGGCTGAGCCCGTTTAAGATATCATGAGCCATTAAATTACTACATATTCTCAGGACTTTCTTCAACTGTAACCCTGTATTTTGGGAGTGGGGGTGCTGTTTAAAATGTTGCCCTGTGTTCTGAAGAAATGACTGGATCTGGAGACAGCTTCCTGTGGTCAGATATCATTGAGATTGGCTTTGCTTCAGCCGGAGGGATTCAACAAAGGTTACACTGAGCGTGCAAGGGTTTAGAGAAGTGCTGGGCACCTGTGCTGAACCTGGCAAAACCTGGGAAGCAGTAATAAGTCCCTGTTCGAGCCCACTTCTGCTGATCCCTTGTACTGATCAGAGCGTCAATGCCACTCATGGCAGTGCTGTCAGAAGGGGACTGCTTGGCGTGCCGCTCTTCAGAGACCTTTGAAGTGATGCATGGATATGGCCACACATGGGAGCTGGTTCCTTCTGCTCTGTGTTTCGCTGGGTAAGTATCTGTTACAAACTGGGACCCAAGTACAAATTTCTTCTAAAGCTCAAATGTGTTAAAATACAGATTTCTGGTGTAGTCTGCTGCGGAGACTGTGGCCGGCAATGAAGGGAAGGTCTGTGACTCTGGGTTGGGTCCTTCTCAAATATGGGTGAAACAGGGCAAATGCAAAGGATATTGCTGGCTGGATTTTCACAGCATTATATTAGATATGCAAAGAAAACTTCTAAGCAGGATCTTTTATTTTGTGATTATTTTTTAGTTTTGAGATATTGCGGTGTCTGTATATTCCAATGAAGTACTGAAAGCACTTGTCTTTGTATAGAAGATAACTGTTTAAAAATTTCAGCTGATCTTGTATTTAGATAAAACATTTGTAGATAGGTAATTGTGTAACGTTAAACAACTTTACACTGGCATGTGTTGTATAGTTTATACAAGACACTTCACACTTCTGCAGAATTTTTTAGTTAGTAAATTTCTAGTAACTTAAATGTATAGTTTTGTATCCTTTCATGTATGTTTGTTTTTTCAGTATTACCACTTGCAGAATTATTTTTAGTTACTTAAACTGTAATTGGTTCTTTGTGTGTGATACACAGGGTTATTGACTGCAGCAATAAAGTGTTTCTATAAAAAAAACAGAACAAAGCAAAACCATTATAGTATCTCTTTTGTTTGAAAAAGCATTAGAGGCCCATGTGAGAGAAAAAATGAGCTCTCCTGTAGTAAGATGATGATTAAAGTGAATTACTGTCATTGTTTTAAACGTGGAACTTGGCTTTTCAGTGCAGCAGACCAATGCAGAATAGTATCCCATGACAATCTGATGTTAAAATGATTCATGATGATAAAGGGATAGTTAACCATCAGAGTAAGTGGGCGACTCTTTCGACGCAGTGAGAAGATATGACTGTGCAGGTGCTCTGGACTCAGATGCAGGAATCCTGGGGAGAATTTTCTATCTTGTGCCATGCCAGGAGCCAAGAAGAAAAGATTCCTGTGGGCCTTAAAATCTGGAGCTTCTGGAAATGACACTGAGTGTCACTATGAATGCTTCATGTCTGAAGTCAGCATTCTCACACGCATCGTTTTCTATACAGAGGTGCAGAGAAGAAGATACTTATTACTC